CTCTCTTTTCCTCCTCTCTCTCTTTTCCTCCTCTCTCTCTTTTCCTCATCTCTTCCTCCCTCTCTCTTTCCCCATTTATCTGAAATGTACTTAATGCCCTCGGAAAAATGATTTCATACTATATTTTTCTCATTTTCTTTCTCATATTATGATCAATTATATATTAAATATCTCAGATGAATGTTATCAGTGTTTCTTTATGCATGTTTGCAGAACAGAAAATAAAGTTGCTCATATTAAAATACTGTAGTTAAGAAGTTAAGGATGCATTTCACATATAAGAATGACGAAAATTAAAGGTACATATATATTTATCGCATTGAACAACATTATATCTATTGTCTATAATTAAAATAAACGCTAAAATTTTCATTCAATTTTAAGTTGACAAAGTGGCGAAGTGAGTTTGAAGTCAGACTTATGCAACAGGGCTCAGGTGAGAAGAAATATATACTTTTTGGGGTGTGATATACACCGTTGTTGATATCTGATTAAGGGTAATCTAAATATTCAGGACGCTAAAGCTTGCCATCTGATGATAGATTTCATCATTCTTCTTTTATATAGTCGAATCCGAAAAACTAATTGATACAAATAATCCTATGAAATAACTTTTAGTTAATACATAAAGCTCCCAACACATTAGAAGACCCGAGGTCTTCTATTCTGTCTTACTGTTTACAAGTTAAAAGGAGGGTCTTCTATTATGTCCCTGAAAAAAGTCATGTTTTTTTGCAGTTTTGCGAAAAACCTTACTTTTATTTGATTTTTCTGCCTGATATCATTAATAAATGAGTTTATTTTACTTGTTTCTCTTGTGCAGGGTAAGAATATTTGCAAATTAAGCTGTTAAGGAGTAGTAAAATGACTCCACGAGATATTGTTAACAAAGAAACACAATCTTTAATAGATAGATCTTTTCTATAAACTACTTCGCAAGATTTCAAACTTTGTTATAAAAATGAAAGGAAAACGTTTTCGTATTGAATTTTGAGATAATTGTGACCTTAAATAGTAAAAAACTCAATAAAATCCGGGAACTATTTTAAAATATCGGTTTTTTAAGCGGTGTGTGGGAAAGGGTCTTCCAATACGTCTTTTGTATCATTGATTCAAGAGGGGTCTTCTATTATGGGGGTCTTTTAATGTGTCGGGGCCTTAATATATATATGGGTGAATTCGCCAGGTTTCTACCACTTTCAGGGAAAACAATTTTTTTTCGAATTTAATAGGCTAGTTAGACGGAACGTCATCGAAAATGGTCTGAGATAACAATTAAAATCTTTTTACTCATGAAAAGTATGGAGAACTAAGTCGTTTTTTAGGAACATCTCAAGGTATATATATCGGGTGTCCAGTAAGTACCTATACACAGAAAAAGTTAAAGATCTCCATTACGGCTTGACCAAACGGGCTCATTTTTTTAACAAAGGTAGAGACATATTCACACTCTAAATCCATACGGGCGAGATTAGTGAGAACCTATAATAAATATATTGTTTTCTTTTCCTATCTGTGAACAAGTAAAATTTTCTTATTGAGGTCAATAGTGATATTTAACAAAGATTCTCACTAACCTTGTCCGTATGGATCTGGATTCTGAACATGCCTCTATCTTTGGTAAAAAAATCAGCCTGTTTGATCAAGCCGTAATGGAGATACTTAACTTTTTCTTTGTATAGGTACTTACTAGACACCCGAAATACCGTGGGTAACAAAATTATTCAACCAAAAGATGATTTTGTTTTG